AAAAAAAAAAAAAAGAACCATTCACTAGAAAAATGGTACAAAGACATAAATGAATAGGTACTTCAGAGAAGAGGAAATATAGCCAATAAACACTAGAAGATCGTCAAATGCATCACCATGGACGTGAGAGTAAGACACTACTTCAGACACATCCGACTGAAAAAACAAGGTATTTTTGTTTTTGTATTGTTGGGGAATCATTGACCGTACAAAGAACCACATTACTGAAAAAACAAGTTTTTAACGTCTCACAAAGCCAGTGCTGCGAGTCAGAACTTGAATCCCCAGACCAGGGTGAGGACTGTCAATACAAACACGTGACACTTCCAAATGTGCACATTCACTTGCGGTGGAAAATTCGCTTCCGCACCACTAGCAACTATGCTCGTGGTCCAAGAGGGGAAGACCAGCCAGCAGCACCTGGAAGGCGAGGACGTTCCGCACCTGTACGGTGGTGATAAACTGGAGGCGGGCAAGGGGTAGAGGACTAAGTTGAGTGGCTGGCCACGGGCAGCTGCCGGGCAAAGGTACCAGGGGCGTGAGAGTTGTCGGTCATTAGTGCTGCTCAGCATCCTTGCACGGCGGCACTAGAGCAGGAGGCTGGGGCGGTGCGAGTCCTCCGTGACGTGCTTCCTGGACGCCTTCCCAGCCGGCCGGAAGTGACGCTCGGGGCGGGGCCTGTGGAGCGAGGCTGGAGGGGCAGCAGCAGGTGAGTGAGCGCGGCCTCGTTTTCCCGGCGCGGGAACGCGGCCCGGGCGCCTGAGCGCCCCCGGTTGGCCCTAGTGTGTGGTCTATTTCGCCTCGGCGTCCCGGGTTCCTGGTGACCCTGACACGCTCTTCACCGCCTTTGGCCTTTGCCTTGCCCCTCAGAGACGTGCCCTCGGCGGTGGAGCCTAGGCCATACCCGTGGAGGGCGCTTGTCTTGGCTGCGGCAGGGGCAAAAGGTCAGTCCCGGCAGCGCCCCTGCCCCAGCCTGGCCTTCAGCGGCGCGCACTTCGAGCCTTATTTTCCCCGGAGACTGGATTAATTCCTAGTGGGAAACTCCCCACCTCACTCTGGCCGCAGATGCTTTGGTTCTTACGGGTGCCACACTGATTGCCCGAGAATAATTTAGTAAATAATAGTAAAACAAGGTCGATGAGAAGTCTCTTTTTTTTTTTTTTTTTTT